TTACCTTTGAAACCAAGCACATAAATTCTGTTTCTGCTTAAAATGTAAAAGCTGGAAAGAGCATTAATAATGAAGAAAAAAGTGCATAAAATCAAAACTTTCCTTGATCTCATCACAGAGCAGGACTGCAGACTTAAAATCCAACAGAGTCAAACCCACCCTCATCCCCACCCTCAATCTGGTCTCTGCTATGGCAGGGCATGAGAGGAAAGGCAAGCAAGGAAGAAAAAAATTTAGGGCTAACATGACAATATAAACCCCCTAGGAGATACAGACACATAAGGGAGTTCACACTCAATTTGCAGGCCGTTTTCCACACTTCCACCAGTGCTCCCAGGAAAGACTTGAAGCAGGGCTGGAGACAGACAGACTCCCCAGAGCATACAGGCAGGAGGAAAAGATTTAAGTAAATATCCATTGTCTAAAGAGAGAAAGAAAAAAACACAAGAATTTTCACCCTTGGAGGCAGGACAGGGAAGAATCCTGAGCCCAGTATCTATATCAATATAGCCAGGAATGACCAGGAAACAGCCCCTCAGGAGCTGCAACAGATAGAAGGTGTTGGGAAGAGGAACAATAATGCTGAAAAACCCTCTCTCCAAGACACAGCCTCAACAGGCATACTGAACACTAAGGCTAGGTTTGGACCACAGAGAATGCCTCCAGCCCACCATCAGCCTAGCAAGCACTGAGTAATAGGCAACAACAGTCTACTGCTAGGAGAGGAGCAAGAATATAGAGAGTAAGTGATGCACCTCCCCAGGGAAAGCAGAAAACTGAGCATGGAACAGAACACTGAGAAAAACTCTCCAGCAACATAGCCCCCATCCAAAGCCCAAAGTAATAGTTGGTGGTAACCAGAGCAACTACAAGACCAAAATCTTGTGAATCCCTATCTAGATTGACTCAACACTCTTGGCAAATCAAAGGCATGACCATTTTTTGGCATAAAAACTATTTCTTCAGTCTCTATTATTCTATATAAGATATTTGAAATTCAATAAAATATTTTTGAGATACACAAAGCAATAAAAAAGAACCAGACTCAGATGACCCAGTGATCTTTTTTTTTAAATCACAATCTGCAACTGGTAAGTAGGGAATAGATGCTGTACATACATGATAGATTGGGAAGATCAAAAATGACAGAAGAAGAAATAAACAAGCATGTGCATTTCTATCCTGTCTCAGATCCTGACCAAAAAAAAAAAAAAATAGCATTAAAAAACTATTTTTAGCATATTATTAAAGCCTGTACATTAAAACATAAAAGACTATAACTAAAATTTATGAACACTCTGATTCTCATCTAGCTACTGAGTAATAAGTAACTCATTAGCAAATAAGAAAAAATTAATCTGCTTATAAATTTTGAAGCTTTTTAAAATATGCATATTTCTTGTGTTATGTTTATTAGTTTGGTGAAAAGTGCTTTTACAATTGTACTGGAGTAAAATTTGGGAAAGGCTGAAAGTGAAAAATTTCTATAAGACAAATACTTGAAGATAAAATATTCTCAAAATAATATCCCTAAAAACCAAATGCTCACAGAATGATAAACAGCCCAAAAGCAAAATGGGCAAAAGACATAAACTAGAAATACCCTCAAGAAATACAAATAAAAATTGATGATATCTAAGGTTGTTAGGAATGTTGAAAACTGGGCACTCTTCACTCACTGCTGTGTGGGAATGTAAACTGGTACAACAAGTACTCCTTCAACTCCTCAAAAACAATAGAATTTAGGCACTATTCACACTCAAAGAAAGTCTCCTATGTCTGCTAGCTCCCTATTCTTTCTATATTCAAGCCATATTGGGCTGTATTTATATCCACTGTCTTGCCTCTGCACCACTGAAATACCTGTTTCCCAATTCCCCTGCAAAATTCTCTCTTTCAAAACCCAGCTCAAACATTTCTTGCCTACTCTTCCCCAGGTAAAATTAATCAACCTTTTATGTGTAATCTCACAGCACTTGGGATTCCTCTAATATAAGAGTTAAAAACATTAAACTGAAGTTAGATCATAGATCTGTGCTAATTTATAATAACTCTGTGCTAAAGAGTTCCACTTATCAACAACAAAAATAATGGGACATGAACAGGAAATTCAAAGTAAAGAAAAATTAAATGCTCTTAAACATATGAAGAGATACAGAACTTCATTAATAATAAAAGAAATATCAATTAAAACCATAACAACATTTATTATCTATAAAACTGACAATGAGCAAAAATATTTGACTATACTAAACATGGGAAAATAGGCATTCTAATAAAACTTACTGCTAAGGACATAAACTAGCAAAATATTATGAAGACAATTACCTATCAAAATTATAAATGCACATACCTTTGACCCATAATTCTATTTTGTATATTTTAAAGCTAATACTATAAATACTTTCATTATATTTGTTAAGATATATGATTGTACATGATTATTCACTTCAGGATCCTTTGCAGTGGCAAAAGATTAAAAAGATAAACATGTATCAGTATGGGAATGGTTATATAAATTATGGTACATTTGGATAATTAAAAATTTTACAGTTAAAATAACTAGATAGCTCCAAATGAAACTATTTCCAAGCTATATTTTTAAATGAAAGACGCAAAACTAAGATGTACTAAATATTTGTTTAAATGTATAGTAAACTACCACTTATACAAAAAGCAATATAATCACATACAAAAAATAATATAGTCATATACTTATTAAAAAAGGGGATCATCACAACTGAATGGCTGAAGGGCAGAGGTAGGAAGACTGACCTACTTTTCACTACATAACCTTCATACTTTTTTAACTGCTTACCATGAATACATTATCTACTCAAAGAATTAACTATTTTGTTTTAAATAATTTAAACAACAAAAAGCAATTATTTATGTTGCTCTCAATTCATTATGAAATCTTTAAGGGCAAAGAACTGAACATGTGCCTCATCATCTTCATATCACAACATGATATCTTGCACAGTGCCTAACACAGAAATGAGAAATGCTTATCAAAGTATGCTAAAGTGACTAGAGCCATAACACATGCCTATAATCCCCACTACTTGGGAGGCTGAGGAAGAAGGATCACATGTTCAAAACCAGACCTGGCAACTTAGAGGTATCCTGTCTCAGAAATAAAAAGTAAAAAGAACTAGGGAGGTGGCTTAGTAATAAAACACCCCTCAGTTCAATTCCTGGTACCACAAAAAGGTTAAAGGGAGAGGGATAAAAGAGGGAGAGGGAAAGGGTTAGGGGAAAAGAGAGAGAGAAGGAAAGAGAAAAACAGAGAGACAGAGAAAGAAACTACTTTGGCAAAGATAACCAGATACTCAATTAATTTTAAAGAAACAAAAAACATATTAAACAACTGGGAATTTATAGAATGCTTACTATGTGTTAGAACACTATACAATGCACACTATACCTATTCATTTAATCTTCATTATAGCTCTATGAAGTGCAGATTTTATATAATGAAGGAATGGAAGCCCAACAAAGATCAAGTAATGTGTCCAGGGCTATCTGGCTTGATTGTGCTAGGGAAAAGTCACCAAAACTTTGCAAATTTTAGTTTTCATTTTGTGTATCCCATAATCTAAGGATTGTATTCTATCAAATTTTGTCAAAAAGTTTGTCAAAAAGCTTTTTTTGTCAAAAATTTTGTAGATTGAACTCTATTTGCTTTTCAGAGGATACTCTCCAAAAATCACTGATTTCATTATTCCATACTAGCTATGAAGAGTAATAGCTCTGAAGTCAAACAGTTTGGGCTGAACACCTTCCTCTAGCACATTCAAGCCGGATAACCCTGGGCATATTATTTGATCTTTGTTAGGCTTCCATTCCTTCATTTGTAAATGCTTATATAAAATCTGCACTTCATAGAGCTATTATGAAGATTAAATGAATAGGTATAGTGTGCATTGTATAGTGTTCTAACATAGTAAGCATTCTGTAAATTTTAATTATTGATAGTTTACATCTTCTTATAATTATCTCTGAGCCACTTCTTCTGCTTCAAAAATGGGTGACATTATAGAGGGAGACATTCAGAAAAAAGCTAACTACAACTATCTGTTACTATCTGTTTCTACACTTCATTAATATCAGTGCTACTTGGAGAGAAAAACAATTAGTGCCATGCCCGTCAACCAGATGGTACAAGACTAAAGCCTGGAAGTTTAACCCAGACCTGCCTTTCAGTCCCTTACCTCAGCAGGGAACAAAGCAATAATGCCATCAGGCTATCATACCATCATTCAGTTTAACCAGTCAATGGCAGTATGAATGGAGCAAAGGACTAAATTCTAATTCCAATATAAAACCAGTTCTTGTTTTTGGAAATCACAAGTTGGGGGGAAAAAAATTCATTCTTTGGGTTTCTACATGTTCAAATTCTACATAAAAAAAAGGTATATTTATATTTTAATACATATATTATGGAAATCTGAAATCCCACTATAAAATAATACCAGTAATCCTATAACACCTGCTAATAAAAAGTTCCTAAGAAGAAATAATTTAAAGAGCAGAAATAAAAACATATACACACAGAGTATACCTTAATTAAAATTCATTAACTGGAACAGTGGGTTGTGTTCTAAACAGCCATGAAAGCATATGGAAAAGGCTTTCTGGAACTAAATTTCTTGGGTTCAAGTCATTAGCACATATAGTAACTCTGACCTTGAGCTAGTTACATAATCTATCAGTGCTTTGATTTTCTTCTCCATTAAAAAGCATAATAACACTAGCTTTCTCATAGGATTGCTGTGGGGATTAAATTAGTTACTGAATGTCAGTGTTCAATAAATGTTAAGTATTACTGTAATAAGTCTTATCTTTCATTCATTACTATAAGGTCAAAGAAGCAGAGATGATAAACTTTTACAACCGTGTCCCCCTGTGAATCTTTATGGAACTAAGCAAGTTTTTTTTCTTTTTAATCAAACTTTTAAATAATAGTAAATGAAACAGTAATTACAAAAAATACTTACTTTGTAGCAGCAGCAGCAAAATGTCTGTTGGGCACTTGAATGTTTAAAGAACAAGGATAAAGAGACATCTGACAAACCATCTTGGAAAGATGACATCTCTGATGACATATCAAGACTTGAAAAGAAAAAACAATTTTAACATTAATCCAGTATATTAAAATTCTTTACATTATAAAGATTAGCTTTTCCAAATCATTCAATATTTTGTGATCTTTAACCATTCTACAAAAGTCTAACAATAGAAACCACATTTCTAGAAACTAGGTGAACACATTTTGAGGGGGTGGTATTGGGGATTGCCCACTGAGCTGCATCCCCGGCCCTATTTTGTATTTTATTTAGAGACAGGGTCTCACTGAGTTGCTTAGTCCCTTGCTTTTGCTGAGGGTGGCTTTGAACTCACGATCTTCCTGTCTCAGCCTCCCAGCTGCTGGGATTACAGGCATTCACCACCATGCCTGGTTAACCACATTTTTTATTCAAACAATTTTGTTATTTATTTTTAACTTAATCTGGTTCAGGCTCAACAAAGTATGCAGGCTCTATTTTTAGGGAGCAAGTATTAAGTATCCCTGAATTTTTAAATAATTTACATTCATTCATTTCTTAATAGATAATGGATTCAGAGTTGTCCTTCTGAAGATCAGAACAAAGTGGGTGACGTGCCCTAGCAGAGATCAATATTTGTAAAGGTATAGAAATTAAAACACGTTAGTATAGAAAGTGTATACATGAACTAGTATAGAAAGGCAAATTAATAAAGTAACAAATAGTTCAGCCATAGATACATGCATATATGGATACTTGAAATAAAATTGATGTTATTGCAAATCTCTGCACATTGAATTGAATCTAATAAGTTGTGCAGCGATAATGATTACCCATAAGGAAACAAGTATATTTAGATGCTACCACTAACACACATACACACACACACACACACACACACACACACACACACATCAAATCCAAATGGATAAAAGACTTACATAAATGCCAAAACTTAAAAAGACTTTCAAATATAGAAAAATAACTTTATGAACTTTGGGGAAGAAATTATTTCACAAAAAAGCACTAAAATATGGCTGCATTAGTGTGAAGAGCTTGTTTATTAAATATTCTTTTTAAAAAAGTGAAAAGATGGGCTGGGGTTGTGGCTCAATGGTAAAGCACTTGCTTAGCATGCATGAGGCACTGGGTTCTACTCCCAGCCCCACATTATAAATAAATAAATAAATAAATAAACAAAATAAAGGTATCGTATTCATCTACAACTAAAACTATATTTTAAAAAAAGTGAAAAGATAAGTCAGATATATTGGCAAATGCATAATTAACAAAAGATTAATATTTTAACAATAAAAGATAATTTAATAATATATGATCAACTGAATTGAGAAATGAACAAAACCAAGACTTCTAATTGAAAAGGAAACACAAATAATGCATAAATACATTAAAAATGCACAACCACATTAGTAACCAAGTAAATAAAAATTTAAAACCTAATAAATGTCTTATATGAGTATTACTTAGTGGTGATCAGGAGGCCTGTTATAGTTTGCAACTAAATTAAGATTACACCAACATATAAAACATCACTAAGTAATTATTTAATGTATTTGACAATATATTTTCCACAAAATTTTCTCAAAGGAGGAAGTGCTTTGATCTCATTGTGGACAGGTAAACAGTTTATGATCAGATAATAGATAATTTAAGTAGCACCATTTTACATACTCAGATTGACAAAGTTTTAACAATATCAAGCAGGGATAAATTTTAGACACTGAAGATGTGTAACTGGAATACCACTTTGGAAAGCACGACCCAATGACACTGAGCATGCATATCCCAATGATGCAATAATTCTACTTCTAAGCATGTCCCTTGCACCTGTCTACCAAGAGACATGCACAAGGATGATCATATCATTATTTGTAATAACAAAACTACAAAAAAGAACTCAAGCAACTATAATAGGATGGATAAATACATTGTGGTATATTTCTATAATAGCCATAGAACTGTAAAAATAAACGAACCATGCTACATAGTTGAGTTTCACAAACATAATGTTGAGCCAAAAAAAGCAAGTGGCAGAACCACTATTCAGTAGGCACAATTTAATCCCCAGTCATGAAAAGCAAAAATTAAAATTTCCAACAGAAACTGCTACAGATCTACCAAACTGCTACAGACTAAAACAAACCAAGTTACAAAAAAAAAAAAAAAAAAAAAAAAAAAAAAACACTATTTAAGTAGGACTACTATACTATGATGTCTGTATTTTCAATTCTTATTTTAAGAGTCTTTCTTTATTACCCACTTACCCTTAGCAGATAACTTCATAGACCTCAGAGCTTCCTCAACTACTTAAGAACTTAACCTGCATCTGTACTCATTCTCCAAAGTCTTGCCCACTCCTACCCATGTTGGTAACAAAATGGAAACTAATCGGCCTCCTTTGTTACCTTACTCTTTTAATTGATACTGAATGGTTACATTCCCCAGAAATGAGTGGTAAACTGCCTTCTCACTCAACTCTCATCTTTACTCTCTAGGAGATCCTTTCCATCCTTCTAGTCTTTGCTTTTCTTTATAACCCCATTTCAACCAGGCCACCTGGATTACTACAAACTCCAAACTCTTCCATTATTCTACTTTTGGTCCTCTCTGTTTCTTTTCCACCTGTTGTTAGTAAAAAGGATTATTTTTTAAAGGACATCTGTCTCCATGTCCTTAAATCACTTGTATAGCTCAACCTGGCTCTTTGAACAGAGTAAATTCTTACCAACATACTCTATGAGTTACTTCTAACCTATCAAACACTAAACTGCTACAAACTAAAAGAAACCAAGTTACAAAAACAAAAACAAAAAACCATTCCTTCATGCTTACCATGCTTCAAATCACTCACCTCCTTTCAGTTACCTGAACAGTTACTCTGTTCTTTACCACTTTAGGATTTTCGTACAAAATCTTTCTTCCCTCTGTGACATTCTTCCCTACCACTTTCCCTTCACATGATGAATTTCACAGTAATCTAGTCATGTTTCAGATATTCCACTTAAACATTACTTCTTCAGAACAGTCTCCCTGAAGACTCAGAATAGATTAGGTCTCTCATATACACTTTTTTTAAAATGTTTTTTTAGTTGTCAATGGACCTTTATTTTATTTATGTATACGCAGAGCTAAGAATCAAACCTAGTGCCTCATACATGTTAGGCAAATGCGCTATCACTGAGCCACAACTCCTGTCCTACATTTCTATAGCATTTTGTACTTTTCTTTCTCAACACATAGGACATTTGTAATTAAAGAAATAATTGTTCCTTAATAGATGGTAAATACTATCAGTAGGAAGCAAATGTGTATAGCTTGTTCACCACTGTACCCCTAACCACCTAGCTTAGTGTTTGACAAATGGAGACTCAATAAACAGCTGCTAAATGAACAAATTAAAGCAAAACCTGGATTCAAACTATTTTAAATATTACCTATTACACCACACAAAGAGAACGCCTTGTGTGTGTGTACACACACATATGTGTTCAGAAAGTTTTGCCAGGAACAATAGCAAACACCTATAATCCCAGTTCCTCAGGAGACTGAGGCAGGAGAATCAAAAGTTCAATGCCAGCCTGGGCAATTTAGGAAGACCCGTGTGAAAATTAAAAAGTAAAAAAAAAAAAAAAAAAAAAGACTGGGGATGTAGCTAGGAAGTGGAACACCTGCCTAGCAGGCACAAGGCCCAGGGTTCAATCTATAGTACCACAAAAAAATAAATAAATAAAAATTAAGTTTTATTGTAAAACAGCTAGTTCATTTATTAACATTATTGTCTGTGGCTTCTTTCGTGCTACAATGACAGAGATGGGTACCTGCAAGAGACAGATGGCATGTAAATCTAAAGCATTTACTATTCATCTCTTTACAGAAAATGTTTTCTGGTCCCTGTTATTAAAAAAAAAAAAAAAAAACACAATACCCTCTAGTACCAAAAGTAGGTAGAGACAATGGTTGGGTAGGGCATTAAGCAAGGCACCTCTCAGCAAGGTAAGGAAATGCTCCTGCCAGAAATCCAGCCTAGAATATTTTATTTTGTCCAGGTGTTCTTCAATAGATGAATGTGATGTATATATATATACAAAATTGAGTTTTATTCAGCCATAAAGAAGAATGAAATTATGGCCAGTAAGTGGATAGAAATGGAAAGCATCATGCTAAGTGAAATGAGTCAGATTCAGAAAAAAATCAAGCATTCAATATTTTCTCTCATATGCAAAAGCTAGAGCAAAGTATGGGGGAGTGGAAGGGATCATATATCATAAGCATAGAGAGAAAACAATGGATAAGAAGGAAACTGAAGGGGAGGGAAAAGGGATGGGAAAGAAGAGGAAATGTAAAATGAATTTAACAAAATTATGTTATGAGCAAGTATACATATACCACAGTGAATTCTACCTTTATGTATATCTACAAAGCACCAATTAAAAATAAACAAAAGAAAAACCTGTAAAGGAAGGGGAATAGGCAGGAGCAAGAGAAGGAAAGAGGAGGCACAAGGGACTGAAATGGAGCCAATTAAATCTCATACATGTATGATTAAGTAAAAATTAGCCCAACTATTATATATAACTATAATGTACTATTAAAAGCATAAAAAAAGAATACTGTGCTTTAGAATATTGTCCATAGACCAAAGAACAACCAGAAATTACAGTATACCCTAATTCCCTCATAATTGTGCTTTTCAAAATGTCATATGATTGAATGTCAAACCTATCTGTGTGAAAATCCAGACTCTATTAACTGCAGCATTATTATGGTGGATAACTTGTATTAGGAATGAGTTTTCAGTCTTAAAGATGGGTATTTGTAAAACTTGCATAATTCTTTGGTCATGTCTTTGTAGCCCAGTCGGTTGCATTTCTGTGCATTTGCTTAAGTACTTTCCAGTTCATCAGGCAGTTTGAGTGAGGGTGTTTTAAAATACAATTGTTTGAAGGCTATGCACAAACAGGAACTGCAGGCAGAGAATGCAGATTTTTAGAAGAAAAAACAAGTTTTGCTACATGAACCTAGATGCAAGGTATATATCAAAGCTGTTCTCACTTGAAGGGGGGACATTTTTTCTTGATGATCCAGGATTAATTCATTCACTCGCTCAACAATAAATGTACCAACAAAATATGTGGTAACACTACCTTAAGCATTTAGGATACATTCATAAACAAAACACAAAAATCCTATTCTCAAAGTGCTTATGTTCTATTGGGAGGGAATCCTAATAAATAAAATATGGGGGAGGAGGGAATGCAGGATAAGATATCAAATGTACCAACAAAATATGTGCTAACACTGCCTTAAGCATTTAGGATACATTCATAAACAAAACACAGAAATCCTATTCTCAAAGTGCTTATGTTCTACTGGGAAAGAATACCAATAAATATAATATGGGGGATGGAGGGACTGCAGGATAAGATATCAAGACAGAAGGAAAGTGGTTTGCAACTTTAAGTGGTTAAGATTGGCCTTATTTAAAAAGGTGACATTGAGCAAAGATTTGAAAGAAGAAAGTGAACAGCACTAATACCTAGAAACATGTTCCAGGTCAACCATCCCAAGGCAGAAATTCTCGGTGTTTATGGAACCAGGAGGAAACTAACTATAAGAGTTAAGTGTAGAGAGTTTAATTAGAGAAGAAGTCAGAGAAGTTAAGCTGGGGATTAGGGGAAGAGGCAGGCACTAGATGATGTGGAAAACTATAGGCTAGTGCTGCGTAACAGAATTTGAGCCACATGTAATTTTAGTTTTTTCTAATAACCACAATAAAAAAGGAATAAAAACAGTGATATTAACAAATATATTTTGCTTTAGCTAACCTCCCATAATATTATCATTTCATTATCAGTATTTAAAAATTAAGATATTTTACACTTTTTGTACTAAGCCTCCAAAACCTAATGAATATTTCTGCATGTTCTCACTTACATTCAGAAACTAGAAAAAGTTAATCTCACACAAGTAGAGAGAAGAATAGAGGTTAACAGAGGCTGGGAAGGAGAGGGAAATGGAAAGAAGATGATAAATTTGATCAAGGACATAGTTGGGCAGAAGGAATCATTTCAAATATTCTATAGCACAACAGGGCAATTATAGTTGGCAACAATTAACTGTATACCTCAAAATAACAAGTATAGGTGCAACCACTCTGGAAAGTAGTATAGAGATTTCTTAGAAAACTTGGAATGGAACCACCATTTGAACCAGCTATCCCACTCCTGGGTCTATCTATACCCAAAGGACTTAAAGTCAACATACTAAACATCAATGTTTATAGCAGCTCAATTTAAAATAGCTAAACTGAGAGCAACCTAGATGCCCTTCAATAGATGAATGAATAAAGAAACTGTGTTATATATACACAATGGAACATTACTCGGAGAATAAAATTATGGCATTTGCAGGTAAATGGATGAAGTCATGCTAAGCGAAGTAAGCCAATCCCCAAAAAACAAAGGCCAAATGTTCCTCTGATAAGCAGATGCTGATCCATGATGGGGGAGGGCATGGGAAAAATGGAGGAACTTTGATTGGGCAAAGGGGAGGGAGGGGCAAAGAAGGGGTATGGGGACAGGAAAGATGGTAGAATGTGATGGACATTATTACCCTAGGTTCATGTATGGCTGCACATACAGTTCAACATTACATTGTGTACAATGAGAGAAATGAAAAGTTGTTCTGCAATTGTGTACAATGAATCAAAATGCATTCTGCTGTCATATATACCTAATAAAAATAAATTTTTAAAAAGATTAATAGCATCAGGCAGTGATATTTTTGTTTTAAGTAAACAAGAAATCAAGACACAGAGTTAAAAGGAAATTAAGATATACAGTTTATTTCATGTATTAAATTATTGATAGGTACTCTTCTAGAATTCAAACCTCTTGACTGAGAAAAAAACAATTTTATTGGTCCTTTTTTTTTTGTACTATACTTGAATTTATTCCAAGAAATGAGACTGGGAAGAGAAAGAGGAATCAGTCAACTAATATAAGAAGGAATGACAGGTGAAATAGAAAAAAAATTAAATTAAGAGAAAGGTATCCAGGAAGCTAAGAGAAGAAAATGTGGCAAGAAGAGAATAATAACCTTCAGTTCTCCTTTTGATTTCTTTGGTTTTGTCTAATGTAATGTGATTGCTGTCATACAGGGAAGATAACGCCACCAATCTCCTTTCAGTAATAATATACATTTTGGTTTGCTTACTTAGTAGTGGTCTGAGTCTACTGTGATCTCTTGCTACCCATGCTATCCCTAACTTTTGAACAACTATTCCAAGTAAAGGATGCTCATGATGACACAGCTTTCTTGTAAGAAGCTCAAAGAGAAAACTGTAATGTTGTGTTTCAAAAAGCAGAGAGCAGGGCTGGGAGGTGTGGCTCAGTGGTACTGCCCTTATCTAGCGCTGGTGGGGTCCTGGGTTCAATCGCCAGCACTGCAGAAAATCACTGGTTTAGGAGTGCAAGCTTCAGTTCCTCCCCTACCACTTATTGATTATATAAATTTGGCCACCTACCAACAACCCAACAAAATCATCTCCCCCTTTCTATAAAATTAAGGGATAGGGTATGCTCGCTGTTGCCTCCGCCTAAAATTGGACTTTATTCACTGCTGAAAAGAGTTGCTGAAATACCTTCCAAATGATACACGTTGGTCCAAATTAGATAATGTTTAAAAACTGTAATCACTTGAAACGATGTATCTAGAAAGCAACAACAAGCACTCTGAAGACTCTTAAGGCTTAAGGATGGAGGTCACTTAAGTGTACCACCAGTCTAAGGAGAACTCACTTCTTCACTTATCAAACTCCACCTACCCACTCCCCAGTCCACACACTGGAGATAGAACCCTGCCTTCCACGCTGATGGTTGTAGGGACTTCAATGATACATTCCCCCGCCAATCCGCCCTCAAGGTGACTGGCTTCAGAAAGGAATGAAACCTCCAATAAGATTGCTTTTAAGTAGTGATGATCCTTCAAAGAACCTAGAGCCCAGAAAGTGCAAGAGGCGTGTCGAGTTCCTATACCTGATCCGCTTCGGGGACTCTAGCTTGCATTCCGCTGTAACCCAAGACTCAATGAACTATTTTCTCCCTAAGATACCCCACGCCTTACCTCTCCCGAGGCACCTTACGGCCGCCGCCATGTTGACCACTCCGGATTGTGTTGATGAAATTGGTCCTACAATTCAACTGGGGAGAATGAAAAAAGAGTTCCGTTCCGGAATTGGCGAGGAGGGAAGCGGTTAGAAGGAACAAGAGGAACAGGGCGGAGACCAAAACAGGCTTTTCTGCCGGCGTGGCGGTGTTGCTGTCACTCCTCGGTGCTGCCTAGGACCCTCGGTTTAGAGGTTCCGGTACGATGGCTTAACCACCTTCAGGAAAATACGATCTTGTTAGAGATGCTTTAATTACTTTATTTTGTTCGGGTTTTTTTTTTAATTTTTTATCCTACCTATGTACAATAATTTTAATAGATCGTGAGGAAACCTAGGACTCAGCCTAAAATATTTTAAAGCTGAAGGTCCCACCAGTTTCCTCAGCCACATTTCCAGCCTTGTTAAGAATGTCTCTAACCTGCCCGGCTGGGCGGAGGAGGTAGCTCCGAGGGAGACGCTGGCCTAGCAGGCGCGAGGCCCTGGGTCCGGCCCCAGCAGCAAAAATAAAAAAAACAAATTCCGCCGGGCTTTTCGCCAGCACCCAAAGGGAGGGAGATCCCACTCACTAACAAACTTCCTTTTTAGCTCAGCGCAAAATCAGGCGTAATAGTTTTAGGTTGATCTAACATTCGGTTTTACATCCCTCCCTTCCCTGCCCTGCGAGCTGTGCCATCAGGATCAATTGAATAATAATACAGCATTCGACATTTATGTAACGCGTGCAGTTTTAAAATGGCAGAACTGAGACCTACGCTCAGGTTAATTCTAACAAAAAAAAAAAAACAAGAAAACTAAATGTCATTTCCATTACGTCACAGCTGTCCTGTGGTTTATCAAAAACAAATCTAATCACTGATTTTATCATTTCCCAGTTTTAAATAAAACCCTCCAGTGACTGGCTATCTAAAGGCCTCTGCGTATCCCCTGTTCACCCCCAACCTAGGTTACACACACACACACA